ACCCCACTGCGTGCACATCCCATTTCCCATGTCTCCTACTGCAAGCACGCACCTCCCCCCTCACGAAGCATCCCATAGCACTCAGATCCCTGACTCCTCGCACATCCCGCATCCCTCGGCCCCGCGGCACTCACCGGCGGGCGGCGGAGACAAGAAGAGGAGGAGGAGGAGCGGCACGAGCAGCAGGGGCAGGCGGAGGAGGGGTGGTGGTGGGAGCGGCCGCCCCCGCCCGCCGCCCCGCCGCCCCATACCACCGCGCCCGCTGCCGTGGGGTGCGCGCCGGCAGCAGCCCCGCCGCGCAGGGACGACCATGACGTCACCCGCCCCGCCTCCTTACCCAGCCCCCGCGCGCCTATTGGCGGCTCTGCCTGTCGCTCACAGCCGGCTCAGCCCCGCTTTCTGCGCGCCTTGAGCGCACTATGCTGCCGGCACGCCAGGGGGCAGTGTCGCACTCCAGGCCCTGCTCTTTTCTATGCCCGACCGCTGATTATGCAGAGCGCTCCCTCCTACTTCCGGCGGCGTCGGGTCCGCGTGCTTGCCGATTCCGGTCCGGATCCGGTCCCGGGTGCCGGCACTGCCGAGCCGAGCGCACGTATCGGACATCGCTATTTTCCTCCGCCTCCTCCGGTATCTCCATGGAGTTCCCGGGAGTGCTTTTCCCTTCTTACTTCGGCTGCGGCCCCCCCAAGGACGAGGGGGGCATGGCTCCAGCCGCCGGCTGGGGAGAGCGCGGGAAGGTTCTGGAGGCCGGGCCCGGACAGCGGCAGGTGAGGGGCAATGGGGACACGGGAGAGAGCACTGAAGGTACGGGAAGGCAGAGGAGGGGGCGCAGGGGGAGGGATGGAGGGCACTGGGAGTACAGGAAGGGAGCCCTCACCTCCCCGCCGCTCTCCCTGCAGGTGCTGCCACCGTTTGTGCCTCTCCGCAGCCACGAGGGCGAGAGCTGGGCGCCGGCCGAGGCCGCGGCAGTGCCGCTGCTGCCGCCCAATATGGGTAAGGGACAGAGGGTGTGGGGGAGCCGAGAATGGGGCTGCCACCTGATGTCAGGACAACCTTGGCAGCCGCCCTCCCCACCGCCCCCTGCCCCCTCCGCAGGCTGCTGGGTCCCCACAGTCACCCCTCAGGATATCCTCTACCACGGTATCCTGCACAGAAAGCTGCGGACCGGGAGGTCTGGGGCTGCACTGGACTTTGCCAAGCAGGTACAGGCTCGGGTGCTGCTGAGGAGCCAGGGCTGAGCTCCCCTGTGACATCCTTGCACGTCCCCACACTGCTGTCCTCGCACAGCTGGGGCACTTCTTTGTGGATCACCCCGAGGATGCCTTCAGCTCCCTGGGGCGACTGCTGCACAAGAACTTCTACCTGGGAGACTCCAGGCTCAGGGTCAGTGCCCTTGGTGAGGCTGAGGGGGACACCAGCGTACCCCCTCCTGTCTGTTCATAGCAGCACTCCTGCTCTCTTCCCTGCAGAAACGCAGCGCCCGGGACACAACCATCCGCATGACATCCCTGGTGGAAAATATCAACCATATGGAAGCCAGGCGGTGAGTGCTGCTGGGCTGGGGGAGCTGTGGGCTCTGGCACCTGCTTGACACTGGCTGTCCCCTCACAGTGGCTGCCCTCAGCATCAATTTACCTCCCGCCTGCGCTTGTTCTCTCACCTGTGCCGGGACTGGCTCTTTGAGGTGCCTCTGGGGCTGCTGGCTGACTGTGTGCATGAAGAGCTGCTGCTACAGTGGACCAGCCTGCTCTTTGATGACAGTTCCACAGGGGGAGCACTAGCCTGGCTGCCCCCTCAGGATGCAAGCAGTCGTGTGGGACGCCTGGTGTACCCTGGCGGGATGGCCATGAACCACCTCTGTATCCTTCCCTGTGATATGTGGGAGACTCTGGGGCAGCGGGGCATTGTGTGGCAGTGCCCTTAGCCAGCACTCCAGATTTCCAGGATGTGGTGCTGGAGGAGCAGCCTCGGGCACGGGGGCTACCAGTGCAGTTTGAGCTTAATGGGCGCATCCGGCAAGTAGCTGCTGCCCGGGTGGATGGGCAAGGTGAGTGAGCCCTGGGACCTGTGCACTGCATACAGAGATGGTAGGGTCCCTGCCCTTTCACCTGTCCTCTCTCCTGTCTCCTACTAGACTTTGTTGGCGTTCGCTCTGACTACCACTGTGGTGTTTGGAGGATGCCAGGCAAGACAGGAGCTGCCCCCAGCCCACTGCAGGTCATCCACACTGATGTGCCAGCCTCCTGCCTCACTGTCAGGTGTGTGCTGGGGATACAGGGCTTGGGGAGGTCCTCAGACACGGACCTTCCAATGTAATGCCATATCTCTGCCCCACAGCCCATACCTGTCTGGGGAGCTGTCAGTCTGCACCCAAAGTGGAGCCGTCTATCTGTGGAACATTGAGACAGGGTGAGTTGGAGTGCTGCGTCCCCAGCGTTCAGGGTAGGAGGAGGCAAGGGTGCCCCACAGCAAGGAAGAGCTCTGTCCCTTCCCCACAGGCTGCAGCGTCTCCGCCATGACCCCCAGACCCTGTTTTTCCGGGACCACTCACCCTGGCGCTGGAGTGACTTCACTGCTCACCCGCGGGTGCTGAGCTGTGCTGACCGCACTGGCATCCTGTGCCTGGATGCTCGGGTGAGCATGAGTACAGGGGTCAGGGTCAGCTGAGGGGTGTCCTACTGTTCCCCATGGTGCCGACAGCACCCTGCTGTGCCACTACAGGCCCCCACGAGCTGCCACTTCGACTTCTTCAAGGTGGGTGAGGAAGCCAAGTGCGAGCAGGGTGAACGCGTAGTATTGCCCATGTACCTGGGTAGGGCTCACCCCTGCCAACACCTCGTTGCCACCCAGGTGAGTCCTCAAGGGCTCAAAGTCCCCAAAGCTCCAAACCAACTTGTGCAGCTGGTTTGGATGCAGGTGGGGGAGCCCTGCTGAGCCTTACCCTTTCCCAGTTTGCCGTGTACCTGCTGGACGAGCGCTTGCCATTGGTGCCTGTGCTGAAATGGTCACACATGATGAAAGCACCCCCTCTGTTTGCTGACATTGTTCCGGGGGAGTCTGGAAGGAGCCATAAAGCGCTGCTGGGCACCTCTCATACCCAGGAGCTGCTGCTGCTGCAGTACACAGGTGAGAAACCAGGTAGGGGACACAGAAACTCCACTCATGTCCACGACCTGACCTTGCTGCTTCACTAGCCGATTTTTGACATGTCTTATTGCAGGGGGCGACCAGATGGCCTGCCAGCTCGCAGGGCCACCACAGCAGCTACACAGCATTGCCAGCTGCCTACCTCACCTTCCCACACAGCTCCCACACCAGCACCACCTGCTCCAGAAGCGCCTCAGCATCCCTGCAGCTGGTGAGTGGTCATGGGGCATGTAGGTCATGCAGGGACAGCAGACAGCAGTTGGTGCTGCATTGGGCATGCATCAAAAGGCAAATGCTACTCAAGATGAGATACAGATGGCTTAGGAGAGGACATAGGAACGAACTGGGAAAGAGGAGTGAGTCCTGCACCCACGGGGAGGTGAAGTAGGGTATGTGGTGATGATGCCCCATTTATCCCCATAGGTCTGGCTGCTGTGCAGCATGAGCAGGGTGAGCAAGAGTCCCTTCTGGTGTTCCAACTCTCCGAGGCAGGTGATGTCTTCTACCAGATGCTGAGGCACGAAGCAGCACCCTCACCTGTTCCTGACCAGGGGGACGAGACAGAACCAGCTCCCACTCCCAACAAGGAGGATGAGGCCGCAGCATCCCCTGGCTCTCCCATTCTGTTTGGCAGTGAGGAAGAGGAACAGGAGGAGGAAGAAGAGCAGACCTTCTACTTGTCCAATCTAGAGGTGATAATCAATGATGAAGAGGAAGAGGAAGAGGAGGTAGTGACCACGCCAGCAGCCACTGAGGAACCTGAGCCTCTTGCCAGGCCCAAGCCAGCCCCAGATGTGCCCAGTGCAGCTGCAGCTCTGCGGTACCGCCGCTGGCTGCGGGCACTGCTGCAGGCATGGATGGGCTCCCCAGCATCCTCCTGCCGATCAGGGCCCCCTACCCTCAGTCAGCGGCGCCTCTTCACCCGCAAGGAGCTGTCAGAGATGGCACCAAGTGTCCTACAGCAGTACCAGCTGCAGCTGCGCCGGGCCATGTGTGAGCGGGGCCGCATCCAGCGCTGGGAGCCAGCCCCAGAACCTCCCAGCCCAGCACCCTCCTTGGAACCCAATGCCTTGAGTGCCAGGCTAACAGCAGCATGGAGAGGCGAGTGGGGGGCCGTGGGGCCAGCTGGCAGCACCCTGCAGAGGCAACAAGCGCTGCGGGAACGACGGCGGAGGCAGAAGCGCAGCCGGGCTCACCGCAGCCTCTCGGCCAGCTTCACCTCCTCCATCACCTACCAGTCTGAGCTGTCCGAGCTCAGCGAGGGGGCCACTCCCCGCACTCCCCCGTCCACCCCACGGGAGGTGGTGGTGTCCTCTCTGCCCGGCACCCCCCCACCGCCTCCCACCGAGATCCTGCTGTCCTCTCAGGAGCTGCGATCCCGCGGCATCCCCAAGGAGCGTCGGCGCACGCTGCGGGACTACCTGTCCGTGTGGGCCGAGGGCCCGCAGGATCCCCCCGAGGCCCCCAGCAGCATCACGGTGCAGCGCTGCATCCCCTCCTCGCAGAGCCAGCTCTCCAGCTCACAAAGCCAGCTCTCCTCTGCCTCGCAACCGCGTCGCAAGCGGCCCCGTATGGGCTTCTGAGCAGCAATAAACGCAGAGTGGCACTGCTCTCGTTGTCAGGATCCTTGGGAGAACCCACGCGGAACGCGTGGAGATGACGGCGCGGGCGGGTGTACGCTCGTCGGTGTGTGGGTGAGCGGGCAGCACCGTGCTCGCCTCCTGCGGGGTGGTCGCAGCGTGTGACACTGTGCCGTGCGCGTCACGCGTGGGGGCATGGAGGAGCGTGCGGGCCCTTTAAGGCGCGGGAGTGACGGGGTGGGAGCCAATGGGAGCGCGGGGCGGGGGCGGTGCCGCTGCGGGCGATGGCGGCGGTGCTGGCGCGCGGGTTGGCGCGCGTCTGGGTGGCGCGGGCGCGCGCTGGGCAGGTGGGCGCGGGTGGGCAGGGGGCGCGGGAACCGCGGGGGCGGAGCCGAGGGCACCGCAGGGGCGCGGGGCTGCAGGGAATGGAGCGGGGGGGTCCTCGGCGGTGCCCGCGCTGCCCTCCGTGCGAAGTCCACGAATGAGGGAGCGCCTCCTGCCGCGCGTCTTGTCTCACTGCGGCCTGTGCCCACGCGTGCGGCCCCGACATCGACTCGCGCCTCCCCACGCCCAATCCCCACCTCTCACCCCTAGCGTGGCCGCAGCGCGCGGTCCCCTCCCCACGCGCGCCGTGACATCCCCGTGTGTCTCCAGCGCTGCCGCTGCGCGGCCGGCGGGCAGGACGGAGAGGTGGGCAAGGCGCAGCGGGTGGCCGCCGAGGTGGGGACGGAGCCCACCATCTTCAGCCGGATCATAGCCCGCAGCGTGCCGGCCACCATCCTGTATGAGGATGATGAGGTAGGGCTCAGCGGAGCGCGCGTCACGCCGTGGGTTGTACCCACGCGAGAGAGCTCAGCCTGCCCTCCCTCCCTCAGTGCCTGGTGTTCCGCGACGTGGCTCCGCAGGCGCCCGTCCACTTCCTAGTGATCCCCAAGCGCCCCATCCCTCGGCTGAGCCGCGTGGGTCCGCAGGATGCGCAGGTGAGAGGGTATGGCTGCCGAGGGCAGAAGTGGGGTGAGGGACGCGGGGCTGAGCCCCGGGCTCCGCTCCCACAGCTTCTGGGACACCTGATGGTGGTGGCAGCTCGCACGGCGCAGGCGGAGGGGCTGTCTGACGGCTACCGGCTGGGTGAGTCGAGTGTCCCCACCGCGTGTCCCCCCACGGTTGACACTCTTTTCCCTGATCCTTGCTCCTCTCCCCGCAGTCATCAACGACGGGAAGCACGGTGCCCAGTCGGTGTACCACTTGCACCTCCACGTGCTGGGCGGGCGGCAGATGAACTGGCCCCCCGGCTGAGGTCCCCCGCCCCCCTTAGGTTACCCCACAATAAAGTTTCTTGGGGACACGCAGTGGATTTTCTGGCTCTGTTTTGTGGTGACTCTCTCAGGGATGGAAGTTGGTTTTAAGTTCTGACCCATCCTGCACTGTACACACCAGACCATGCACAAATATGCAAAATCTTCCATTGCACAGCCCAGACCCACTGTGCATCCGACGCTGTGCAAAATGTTGCATTGCACAGCGCAGGCCATACACCACCATGCACAGCACATTGCATACATCAGCAGCAAACGTGTATCTGCTACAATGCACAACACGTTACACTGCTTACCCCAGCCTCTCCCCCCCCCGGCACGTGCAGAACACGCGCAGCGCACTCCTGTCGGAGCAGCTGCGGGCGCGGTTCCACTCCATGCGGACACGTGCAGGGCCGCAACGCGCAGGCGCCCGTGGGCTCCCTGCCCCGCGCCTCCCGCTCCGTCCTCCGCTAAATTTAGCGCGGGGCGGGTGCTGGCGCAGCGCGCAGCCCACCTGGCACCGCAGCCTGGGCCCGCGCCAGCCGCCCGGGGACCGCAGCCGCCGGGGATAATGTGGGGTCTGTTCAGCAGGGTGCTTCTGCTGGGGCCCGGCTGGGGGGCACCGGCGGGTCCCTGCTCTCCGCGTGCTGCTCGCAGACCCCCGAGGTTCCCGTTAGCAAGAGCTGGGCCCCTCCTGTAGGGCTGGCAAGCAGCAGCAGCACAGCAGCAGGAGGTTGACGAACGCCAAAAGCACTCCTTGGGTTGGGGAGGTTCCCAAAAATGCATGGGCGCCGAGACACCGTCGCCGTGCCACGCCGTGGGGAGCGCGGCGGGCGAAGGTCCAGAGCTGTTCTCACTCCTCAGCCAAGCACTATCGCAAATGACGCAAGTTCCCCAAAGAGATCGCGGGGGGAGGGGGGCGGAGGAGCAGGGGGGATGTGTCACCGGCACGCCGTGCCCAGATGTGCTTCGGCTCCGGGCCCCTCCACAGGGCTCCAGCACGGACGGCCCCAGCGGCTGCCGCAGCCCCGCTGCCCCCGCCTGGCGCAAGGCCGAGCGCCTGGGGAGGGGCCGCCGCGCTGGGGCAGGGGGTGGGACGTGAGGTCGGCCAGGATAAACAGAGGCCCCAGAGCCGGAGCGCGGTGGCACCGCCGGCGCACACCGCAGAGCGCTGCAATAACAGCCCGGGGCCGCCGCCGCCGTCAAAGGGCCCTTCTTCTGCCCGGCGGGGGGGGAGCGGGGCCGGCGTCCTGCAGGCGCTGAGGGCGGCTTGGCCCTGCCCTGCCCGCCCCGGGCTGTCACTGTGGGGTCGAGCTCGCAGCTGGGCGGCCCCGCCCGGCCCCGCAGCTCGCACATGGCGCGGCCGCGCCGGCCTGGCCACGCCCCCTTTTGCCCCGGCCACGCCCCCTTTGCCCCTCTCGCTCCCTTTTACCCCCTTTTCCTCCTGCCCCGCCCCTCGCTCATCCCCGCCAATGAAAAGCGCGCCTGCACGCGGCGCCGCCAATCAGCGTGCGGGAAGCGCGCTTGTTCACCGTCCCCATGGAGATGCGGGACGCGGCCATGCAACGCGGAGCGCGGCGGGGGCCCGAGACCCCCGAAGGGTGGGTCCGGGACACCGGGGGGGGCCGTGGGGAGCTCATTGGGGTCACGAGCCTTTGGGGGTCTCCGGGGTCATTTGGGGGTTCAGAACACAGGGCACATGGGCGGTGAGAGGCTACCAGAAGGCGTGGAGCAGGGATCGCACCATGGGAAGCAGACCAGCTGTTCCTTTGTCCCCACGCAGGGTGGCTCTGACCGGCCACGTCGTTCCCGTGGACCCCGCAGATGGACCCGCGTGCGGGATCGGGCTGCGAGGTGAGGTGCTGCTGCCCATGGTGTCCCCGTGCTGCAGAGACATGGTGGCTGTAGCTGAGGAGCCCCAGGAGGCGATGACGACCCCGACTGAAGACGCACCCAAGGTGGTGGACACAGAAGAGGACCAACACGAGGTGCCGTTGACTCTGACCAAGGATTCCCCTAAGGTGCTGGTGTCCACAAACAAGGATCTCCCTGAGGTGCCAGCAGAGCAGCTGAGACGCAACATGCCACGGGGGACCTGCCTGATCCACAACTGGCAGGAGGAGGTAAACCCCCACCCCAAAACCAGCCCGGAAAGCACCACGAGCCCCTGCTCCCTATCCTGGGGATGCCCTTGAGTTTTGCAGGTGGGGAAGGAGCCTGACAGCTCCCACCCTGAGGCTCAGCTGAACGCAGGCAGGGAGGTTCAGAGGGAGGCTGCACTGGAGCAATGGTGCATGTTCCAGAAGCATCCATTTGGGCAAAAATTAGATGGAGGACACCCAAAATACCCACTGGGTGCCCCTAGACCCCTACATCACAGGGCTGAGGTTTCCTCCAAAAGGAGCTGTGAGCATTCTGGGACAGTGACTCCATGGTGCGCCCCACACTGTGTCCCCAGAGAGCCACCAACCACCTGGACTATGTGGTACCACTGGAGTTGGGCAGCGAGGGCTTCATCTACCGTCACGGTCACCGCGGGCTGCTGGCTCCCCTGCACGCACCAGTCTCACTGCCTTGCAGCACCACCAAGGATGCCTTCCGCCCACCCCACAGAATCCCACTGCTGGCACAAGGTGCAGCCTCAAAAAAGGGGAGAGGGGTTTTGGGGCAGAGTGGGGGGACATGATGCTGAGGATGCTAGCACCCCACAGGGCAGCGAGAAGCCATGCTGGAGAGGATGCTGTACCAGAAGTACCGGTGAGCCTGTGGGACTCCAAGAGAGGCCCAGTCCTTAGGGACTGCAACATTGGGCCTGGGGAGGGGTGATCTGTGCACCTCCCACTGCCCTGTAGGCAGGAGCTGATGGAGGAGATCCACCCACCGCCTGGTTCCATGGAGACACTCTCCACCACACACCAGGATTATCGGGCGGGAGGCTTCCAGCCCACACCCCCACTGACCACCCAGGTACTGCCTGCTACCCTGCATCCCAAAGAGGGGGTCTCTACACGACCTCCCAACTCACAGGGGATTTCCTCTTTTCTTCTGCAGCCCCATAACTACCACATGGAGCAGCCCCGCAGCTTCTGGCTGGAGCGAGTCCACAGCGTGCCTGTGAGTACCCACACCCTGCCCCACCACCTTGCTGTACCCACTGCTCACAAGGGTCTCTGTATCTCTCCCCTCCAGGGTGTCACCTGCATCCGCACTGGGGACAGTCCCTTCCGTAGGAACGCCACCTTCTCCACCCCCATCAGCGAGTATCTGGAGCAGCCTCTGCCCTATGAGGCAGCTACCCGCCAGCCGCAGCCCAGCATGCAATAAAGAGCAGGAGCGAGCCCTGCTGCTGGCACCCTGGTGTTCTCTGGGATGTTTCCAGAGCAGGCTGCGGGGAATCCCAAATCCCAATGCAAAGCGGCATTCTGTGGGGCAGCACACCACAAAATGCGGCACATCCCCTGGGAGGTGTCCCTCCACAGTGTCCACAGTGGATGTCACATATCCCCATCCCTATTCCCAGATAGGTGACACCGCCCCATCCCTATTCCCAGGTGGGTGACTTGCATCCCCATCCCCAGGTGAATGACGTGTCCCCATCCCTGTCCCCAAGAGGACGACATGCAACCCCATCCTTATACCCTTGGTGAGTGGCAAATGTCTCCATCTCTGTCCTCAGCCCTAGGCAGATGGTACGTGTCCTCATTCCCAGACTAGTGACACACATCCCTATCCCCATATTAATGACACGTCTCCTTCCCCATCTCTGTCCCTCGGTGGGTGATGTGTCCCCACCTCCATCCTTACCCCTGGTGGGGGGATGTATCCCCATCCCCACCTGCCCCAGGGCTGCAATTCTGGCCCCAAACCCTGCCCTCCAAGGTCCACACCTCACTGGGACAAAGCAAAGCACAGGAGCTGGGAACAGCAGGACTAAGGGCAATTTGTATTTCAACAAAATAGTCTGTGCGCACGCTTATATTTACACCTGGGAAGGGGATATTTACAGGGCTGGGGGGGCTATATACATAGGGAGGTGTGGAGAGGAGCAGCAAAGTCTAAGCCTGTTCCACTCCTTTCCTTTCTTTGGGAAAGGGGTGAGACAGGTGTGGGGGGAGCTGAGTACTGAAAAGAGAAGGCAAAGTGCCCTGCAGGGCAGCCAGGCCCTGGGGACGGCTCAGACCCGCCGAGCCGCAGAGGTTGGGGATGGGGAGTTCGGACCAGGAGGCTGGGGTGGTTGGGAGGCTCCTCCCACCCAGGGGCAGCAGGAGGCTTGGAGGGAGCTTTGCTGGTGCTGATGGAGGGGACGGGCGGTGCAGTGCTCACTGAGCCCCCGTGCCCCAGTACTGCTGCGGGGGGTCCTGGTGCACCCCAAGGGTGGGGGGGGCTCCGCTGGGCTCAGACAGCTTTGGGGTCTTTCCGCTCGCCCAGCAGCCAGTACGTCCGCATCTTCCCCTTGCCCTGGGTGGGGGAAAATGGTCAGATCCCCCAGGACAGCGGTCCCCACGGTGCCATCCCCAGCACTGCATCCTCACCTTCATCTCCACATCTCCGCGCAGCTCCAGCTCAAAGCAGCCGAACTCATCCAGGACTTCTTTGGTGGTGGAGGAGACATGGATCTTCAGGGCTGGGGTGGAAAGGGACATGGATGGGGCTAGGAATTGGATGCACCTGTGGTGCTCAAGGCAGGGTTGGGTACCGCCAGCCCCATGGCTCACCCTGTCCATTGGACTCCATGCGGGACGCCGTGTTCACTGTATCCCCAAACAGGCAGTACCGCGGCATCTTCAGCCCCACCACTCCTGCGCAAACAGGACCTGGAGGCGCCGAGATGCTCAGGGGTGGCGAAAGGGCAGAGAGCATCCCACCATGTGCAGCCCGATGGTGCAGCAGCCTCCCAGCACCCCAGGGCTCACCGGTGTGAATGCCGATGCGCAGACGCAGTTGGTCATTAGGCCGGTGCCGGATTTTGAAGGTTTTGACGGCTTCCAGCAGGGCCAGGGCCATGCGGACAATCTCATGGGCGTGCAGCTTGCCGTTGCGCACTGGCAGCCCTGACACCACCATGTAGGCATCCCCAATGGTCTCCACCTGTGGCAGTGGGGTCAGGGGGAGCAGGCACCCATTGGTACCCACCTTGGTGCCCCATACCCCTTACCTTGTACACGTCGAAGTTGTCAATAATGGCATCAAAGCAGGTGTAGAGGTCGTTCAGCAGCGTCACTACCTGCAAGGAGCACAGTGGGGATGGTGGCAGCAGGATGTCCCCAGCCCTGCGTATGGCGCTGCAAGGCGTGGCAAGCTCCCTGCCCACCCCAGCCCTGCTCCCACCTGCATCGGGGTGCTCTCGGCTGAGAGTGCAGTGAAGCCCACGATGTCACTGAAGTAGATGGTGACGCTGTCGAAAGCCTCAGCTCGCACCGTCTCCCCACGCTTCAGCTGCTCCGCCACAGAGCTGCCAAGGAAAGCAGGGACAGTGGGTGCTGGGGGTCCTCTCCTCAAATCACCCCTCCTCCCTGCTCCTTTCACCAGCACCAGCACAGGGGGCAAGGAAGGACTCTTGTGCCCTCAGCCCCACATCGGCCCCCAGCCCCATGCAGCCCCCCTCACTGGGGCAGGATCTGGTAGAGGAGGTTCTCCGCCTTGCGCTTCTCCTCCAGGTAGGCTTGGGTCCGCTCCTCCACCAGCTTCTCCAAGTTGTTGGCATACTGCTCCATGCGTGACAGGAGGTTGTCCAGGATGCTGGTGCTGCCCTCCCTGCAAAGACAGGGGCAGCTGGGCCATGGGGACAGGGGGACACCCCCCTGGTGGCAGTCCCCACTCCCAGGTGGAGCTCGGGCCGCTGCACCCCACTCCCCAGCACCCACTTGTTGAATCTGCGGATGAAGATCTTAATCTGGCTGAAGTCAGGGCGCTCAGCGGGCTCCTGCGCCCAGCAGCGCTCCATCAGCACAGCCAGCTCCTCACTGTGCACCCCAGTGTCAATGGAGGGCCGGAAGAAGGGCTTCTGGCTGTTGCGTACCTTCTGCACAATCTCTGTCCAACAAGCAGGGGCCGATGGTGAGCAGATGCCCCCAAATCCACCCAGTACCTTCCCATCCTCCTCAAATCTCACCAACCTTTTGGGCTCAGGTCCATGCCCTCGACGTAGAAGGGGCCATTGCGCAGGGCAATCTCCTGCACAATGATGCCAAAACTGTAGACATCGGCTTTCTGCATGCCCTGTGCGGGCAGATGGCCCTTCTGCAGCAGCTCTGGGGCTGTCCAAAGCTTCTCTGTAGAAACAGAGCCACAAGCAGTGAGGTAAAGCCCCACTTCCCCTTCCACCCATGTCTCCATCCCCACACTAAGTGCTCACTGGCATAAAGGGCATGTGTGTCCTCGCTGTCGCAGGGTGTGCGGAAACTGGCCAGCCCATAGTCAGTGATCTTCAGCACAAAGCGGCTGTCCACCACGCAGTTGGAGGACTTGAGGCTGCCATGGTGCCCAATTATGCTGTTGTGCAGGAAGGCCATTCCCTGTACCCGTCAGAGAGACACTGTGACACCAGTGCCCCTCAGCATCCCCTTCAAGCCAAATGTGCCCTTGCTCAGGTACCTTGACGATGTCATTGATGAGTGAGTAGCGAAACATCCAGTCCAGGTTGATGCTCTCATTCTCCAGGATGTCCTGGAGAGGCACAGTGGGCACCAGGACAGTGGCACCAGCACCACTTGTTGGCCACTCCATCCCCACCCTCACCTCCATCTCCACCCTTGTTGTCATCCTCATTCCCATTCCCATTTTCAACCCCACTCCATGTTCCCACCCCAATACCCATCCCAACCTCATCTTCACACTCATCTCCATCTTCATTCACACCTCCATCTCCACTGTTCCGCCCCAATCCCCATTCCCCCCCCCCCCCCCCATCTCAATCTCTCTCCCCATTCCCTTCCCACCTCCTCCACCCTCCCATGCCCCCCCACTACCTGCAGGCTGCCCCTTGGGCAATACTCAGTGACAATGCAGATGTTGGGAGGATCGATGCAAGCCCCAATGAAGCGTGTCAGGTGGTTGAACTGGATGTCCCGCATCTGAGGATGCAAGCAGAGCTTGGTGGGGACAGGCAGCACCCAGTCGCCCCACCACCACAAGGAGCAGATGCTGCACTCCAACAGGGCACAGACCCCATCCCAGACCCCACACCTACATGTTTGAGCTCGAAGAGCACCTGCCGCGTCAACTCAATGCGCTTCTTGTTGACATGCTTGATGGCCACCACGTTACCCTGGGGACAACAGAGGGGTAAATGCCCACCAGGCAGCCTTGGGAGATGTGCTATCATCCCATAAGGGTGCAAACTGACCTTGAAGTGCCCAGTGTTGGCGAAGACCTGGTACTTGCCATGTGTGGTCATCAGTGAGCCATAGCTGGAGCCACGCTGCAGAGAGGTTGCATTAGGAACAGGGACCCCAGGAGGGTTGGTGGCACCCATGGAGCAGGGGAGGGGCAGGACAAGGTCTGGTCTGCAGGGTCAGCATGAAATCTATAGGCTATGTGCTAGTGGGCATGGGGGGCTGTGGAGATGCAGCATTACAAGGGATGGAGGGCCACACAGAGGCTGGATGGAACATGGTGCTCCACGGGGACTCCAGGTTGTGGGGGAGATGGAAAGACATGGATGAAATGTGACTCTGAAGGGGATGGAGCACTCCGTAGGAAATAGACGAAGTGTGGCTCTACAGGAGATGCAGAGCTTTGCAGGGGATGGACGAACATAGGGAGTACAATATTACTCTGTAGGAGACAGAAGGGCTGTGCAGGAGGACAGGACAGGGACAGAAGAGGGGCAGAGGGCTGATATCTCACCAGGGACAGTGTGAGCCGGCTGCCTGCTCCCTTATGGTACCGCTCTGCACTCCCAAAGTGCAGTTCATCCCAGCGGATCCTCCACAGCATGCTGGCCAGCTCCTTCTCCAGCATCAGCTTCCTGAGGAGCAGCGTGGGTCAGCCAGCCTATCCCTATTGCCCCCCACCTGCTGCCCCCTAGCCTGCACCCACCTGAAGATGAGGAAACTGGAGATGCCAAACATGACAAAGGTAAGCCCGGTGCCCAAAGCCACGATGGCCAATGTGGAGAGCGGGGCTGCCATGGTTCAAGGTTCAGGTTAGGGGGGCTGCTATGGGGCTGCCCACCCCCAGGGAAGGATGGAGCGGGACAATCCATGCACCCACTTTTATCGCAGGAGGGGTCATCCACATCGAAGACGCAGGGGGGGTTGTCCAAGGGGGGAGCCCCCTTCACCCAGCGGATGGGCCGCCCCAGCCAGCGGATCTGCTTCTCTGCACCTGAGTAGTGTC